TAGTAGTAGTAGTACTGGTAGCAGGAGTAGGAGTAGTAGTAGTAGTAGTAGTAGTAGTTGTAGTTGTTGTTGTTGTTGTTGTTGTGGTAGAGGTGGTAGTAGTAGTAGTAGTAGTAGTAGTAGTAGTAGTAGGTGCCCCCCCCTACCCACTACCTCGCCTACGCAATGTTTAACCTCATTCAGGCATGTCCGAGGGTGAGTGCTGAAGCACCTTTCGTGATGTCGTAGTCCGGGGGTGGAGGGCATAATGACGTACTGCTTAAGAGCACATCCATTCTACTCGATGTTTACTGTTTTTCGTGATGTTGTAGTCAGTATCAACGATGATGATGACGATGGGTTTCGGCCCCAGGCAGTTGTTAGGTTGTAGTGGTGGTACTAGTAGTAGCAGTAGTAGTTGAAGTAGTAGCAGCAGAAGGAGTAGTAGCAGTAGTAGTAGTAGTAGTAGTAGTAGCAGAAGGAGAGGTAGTAGTATTAATGGTAGCTGTTGTTGTCGTTGTTCTTGTTATGCTGCTGCTGATGATGTGAATTTGCGGTTGTTGCTTTTCGTTGTTTCTTTTTGTGGTCACTACTGTTGCTGCCGCTGCTTTAGGTGTTGTGGCTCGGACTTCGTTGTCATGTGTCTTCTTACTTCTGCTTTCTCTTGTTGCTCTTGTTGCGGTTGCGGTTGCTGTTGTTGTTCTTGTTTATGCGGTTACGGTCGCTGTCGCATTTACGGTCGAGGTTGGGGTTGGGCTTGGGGTTGTTGTTGCTGTTGCTGCTGCCGTTTCTGTTGTTGTTGCTGTTGCTGTTGCTGCTGCTGTTGATGATAATATCTTGCTGTTGTTCCGGCTGCTTCCGGTATTATGGCTCGTACTTCGTTCTTGTTCGTTTGTTTTTTCTTGTTGCTTTTGTCGTGGTTGCGGTTGCTTTTGCTGTTCTTGCTTTTGCGGTTGCGTTGCTGTCGCGATAACGGTGACGGTCAAGATTGGGGTTGGGTTTGGGGTTGTTGCTGCTGTTGCTGTTGCCATTCCTTTTGCTGTCACTGCCTCCGTTGTTGATGTTGTTGTTGTGGTTGTCGTGGTGGTTGTTGTTGGCGTTGGTGGTGTTTCTTTTGTTGTTGCTGTTGTTGTTGCGCTTGCTGTTCGCGATTACGGTTTGGGTCGAGGTTGGGGTTGGGTTTGGGGTTGTTGTTACTGCTTTTGCTGTGTCTGTTGTTGTTGTCGATGTTGCTGTTGTGAATGATGGTGTTGCTGCTGCTGTCGGTGTAGTGTTTCTTGTTGTGGTTGTGGTTGTTGTTGTTGTTGTTGCTGTTGCTGTGGTTATTGTTGTTGTTGTTGTCGTTGGTGGTGGTGCTGCTGCTGGTGGTGGTGTTTTTGGGGTTATTGGCGTTGGTGTTGGTGTTATCGTTGCACTTCTCGTTGTCGTCGTCTGATGCCGCCCAGGCCCAGGGTATTGCTCTGACATGCTTTGACGATGCCGCCGCTATGATTCCTTGGATTAGACCCCCACCCATTCGGCAGTAGTGGTAGTGAACAGGTTCCAGACTAGAGGGGCCCCAAGACTGTTGTGCTCACGATCAGTGGCCGGGGCCAGACCCAAAGTTGAAAAAGGCACCTTTGATTTGAAGCTGGTTTTCTCGTTCGAGAAATCGAGTGCACGTTATAAGGTTTTATTTTTCTGACTATCGTGTGACAGCCCGGCCGGCCCCCATGGCCTCGGAGACAAATCCAGTCATATGCACGCTTCTTACGGAGTTCTCTTCAGATTAAGAGCTCCGTGTCTCGAAGTGTCCCGAAGAAGCCTCGCCATGAGCTCTGATCTCTGCAATGCGAGAGGGAAAATCTCCAGTCACACCTGCAGGCAGACTATGGCTCTGCCTCCATGGCAAGGCCTGCGTTGCATGGGCTTGGGATGACAGGATTCTCTGTCATCGTCTTGAAAGCAATCCTTCACCCGCCAAGACTGCTGTGCCGGACAAGTGCTGCCCCCAAGAATTTATGTATGGCAGTTTAGAGTACCCGGGTTGCCCGTGCAATGTGAATGAAGCGCTTGTTCTCACTTCTGGCCCTCATGTATCCTGTGACGAGGGCTCCGTATCTTGCAAGCACCGAGAGCCAGGAAAAACTTGGACCCGGAGGGCGGCCGCAACCAGGGAAATTCTGCGCTTCTTACCGTTCCTCGTCCTCCCACTTCAGTTCCTTAGGTTCCAAGCCTGACTGCGTGGTTGATTTGCTCGGCCGCCGGCGAGACTTGCACCAGGGCTCTCTGGTGCGAGAAACTCGTCATAGGATAGATGATTTCATGCAGCAATCCTTTGCAGAGCTTTTTTAAACAAGTGTTTGCTGGGGACCCCTGTCCACTGCGTTTGACGACGGAGGCTGGCCTTTTAATCGCGGATGTAGTTGGCGCGGGCGTCCTCGCCATGGGCGACTTGGCGGTGTAGCGCGTTCTTGGGGTGATCCTAAGTGGAAACTAACCGTAACTAACCCGAAATGCCATAACTACTCCGATTTAGGCCAAGCTGTCGCCAAGCTCGGCTGGCTCCTTGGCACTATCTGCATCATCGCGATGCTGGCCATGAATGCCCACATCATGATCTTGGTTTGGAGAGCGGCTTGCCTTCACCTTTCACTTCATGTCGCGAACTTGGTTGACTCAATTCGCAGCAATGCTGGGCAGGAAGGCTAGCAGCTAGTATTTAGCATTGTATAGTATAGGAACGGAGCCGCACGGCCAATTCGCGAGTGCATCGGCAAAGCTTGTTCTTGGACTTATGAGGTTCACATGCGCTTTCCCGACGCTTGGAAGAAACTTTCGAACTCACTGCCTATATTCGCTGCCATGCTGCAACCTTCCAAACCTCTGAGGATGCCACCACCTTCAAGGAACTGGTGCGGCAAACCTTCGCACGTGCTTTACCCGAGCGATTGGAACTGGCCCAAGAAATTGTGAATCTCAGAATGCAAAAGTCTCAAGGGCTCAGGGACATGATTCTTTCCGTCGGTGAAATGTCTATCTTCGCGCGCACGTCTTTTTTGGAGCGTCGAGAGTGGACCCTGTTGTCCACTGCATGGTACCTCACGCCGAGTTGGGCACAAACACATGGAATCGGATCCAAAGATGCAGGGTGCAGAGAACCTCGTTCGGTCTTGTTTCGATGCAAGTAGCTGCCATGCCAAGGATAGTTTCCTGGGGAGTTGCCCACAGATGTTAAAATGTTCTAAAAGACTTGCCGAGTGCCGGCGACGGCGCCGATATGGCCGATCATCACAGGATTCTATTAGGACGACATGGCTCGAATCCTGTCGTCGGGTTTCAATCATCCGGATGGCGAGTGTGAGAGTTGAAGCCATCTGAGGGTGATCGGTCAATACACCTACGTCTTTTGCACCCTGGGCTTGTACACGCTCAGCATTGGCCAGGGCTTGGGGATGCAACTTGGCCGATTGTTGAATCTCTGTATGAAAGTTCAAGCACACGAGGAGATACAGATTCAGATGCCTAGGACCTAGGCACAAAAGGGCTTTTTGCATTTGTACACTGATGGCCGTGATAGGAAGCCCTGTCTACCTTGGGCCGCCCCAGGAACAAAGCATTGATTCCACTGCCTGAGATAAACAAAATCTTCAACTAGGCACTGGCGTTCACGTGGCCGTGCATTTGCTCGCCACCCCTGTCAGTCCACTAATGTGTTAGGTGATGAGGCCGGAGCGCACGCATGTAGGTTTGTGCGCAGCTGGCATTGGCGGAGGCATGTACTGAGTACCCCGTAGAGTTCGAGCCGTAGAGTGCCGAACACGTCCTTCGCCAG